TTGAAGCTTCAATACGGCCGTATTAAGTTTAGTACGGCCGTATTGGGCTTCATTCCCTCCACTTCCTTATTTTAAACTACTCTAAGACCTCTAAACCTACAGATAGCCATCCTATGGTCTTCTAGGAGTCCTTCTGGCTGACTTTCCTTCGATCTTTGAGGGTCTTCGAGTTTTATTTCCGACCCGGACAATTTTAGGGGTCTACAGCGGGTGGTTGAAATTTGACACCAACACACCTAGCATCGACAAGCACCCACTGCACAAGCATGACGAGGAGTGACCTTGGAGTATAAAATTGAGAGATTACTAGAGTAAGGGGCTCTCTTTCTTTTTCAAAAATAAATAAATAAATAAAATAAAATAAATTGCTTTAAATTCATGCTCAACTCATGACCTTCACCCACGGTCATGAGTTCAAACAAAATAAGGGTGTGTATAAGTTTTTACATTCATCAATAACATACGTCATTTCCATAAATCCCTTGTGTTTATTCTTTTCTCCCTTCTATCACTAAAATCTAAAACCAATCATAGCGACAAAAAAAAACAAAAAAACAAAAAAAAAAAGACATGATTGAAGATAATAATATTAATCAAAGCTTTGAACATCTAAGACGCATTATCTGAGTCTAAGATTGAAAAGGAGATCACTTCCTCGAATCACACAAAGATAAGAAAGTGATCAGAAGAGTCTTACATAAGATTCTCATTGCCTAAGAAGAGACTTGCAAAAAAAAATTCAACTCAATTTGGCTGACAAAGGAATCAAAAATCTCGGTTCATGAAAGAACTCTTAACACTCGTAGACCGGGGCAACATCTTTCTCCTTGGTGTACGGGACGGGGGTAGTGTTAATCACCAAAGACACTAGTCCTCCCAAACGCAAATGGCAGGAGGTTTCGTCAAAGCAAAGAAGTCACTTGCAAAATATTGCTAGGATGAAAAACCGCAAAGGGCGTCCTAGGAAAAAAAAACAAAAAAAAGGACCAAAAGTTCCCGCTAGGATATGTCCTAAACCCTAAAAAGATTAAAAATAGCAAGTGACGACTTTCCAAGTTGAAAACCAAAAGGCGGCTTGAATACTCCTGCAAAAGGCCAAAACTTTTTGAAGACTCTACCCGAGACTCAGACATGTAGTCCAAGATAATTAGAATAATGATTATAATAATTATCCAAGGAAATGTTTGTTTAAAAACTTAAGCACTGACCTACCTCAACCACCTATTCATTCTAAATAGTCCTTTCTTTTCTTTCTGTCTTGTCCCATCCTAATGACGTATATTGTTGATGGTTGTCAAAATTTGAACATGTCCAAAAAAAAAAAATAACCCGTTGGGATGAAAACCCGCAAAGGGCATCCTAGGCAAAAATTAGGGCAAAAGAAAATAGTAAAGAAGAAAGCAAAAATACCCGCTGGGATACATCGTAGGCAAAAGTTAGGGTTTCTAAACAAAAAAAGAAAAGAAAGAGAGCCCTAAGACGGTTCAATACATCAAACGGCCAATACAACTAAATGTTGTGCATCAAGCAAAGTAATTTATTCGTGAGAAGGAGAAAAGGGAAGCCACCTTCTAAAAAAAACTAAAATCAACATGCATTGCATGCATCCAAAAGAATTTCACACACTTAGAAAGCTTTCTTTATCCAAGGGGGATTATTCAAAAATAAATAAATAAAAATCTTGCATGAATAAGCATCCAGCATTTTTTTTGCATCCTGACAAAAGAGCAAAACAACGACATGAGAAAAAGGGAAGCTTCGTAAATGTTGAAAGAGCCAAAGCTAAACAAAAATGAAATTAAAACAAAACCTACCACAAGCAAACGCTTGGAGAGGCATGACAATACTCACATGACAGGGGTAGCACCAGAATCCTTGTCACCCATCTACTCATTTGCCCACCAACACAAAGGCACCACCTACCAGCAATCCTTATCTTCATCAAATGTCCTCCCCAAAGGAAAGGGGAAATTACATCATCATCACTAGCAGATGGCCTAGAGAGGCTATGAAAATACTACGGCCTGGAGAGGCTATGAAAATACTATGGCCTAGAGAGGCTATGAAAGTACTATGACCTGGAGAGGCTATGAAAATACTACGGCCAGGAGAGGCTATGAAAATACTACGGCCTGGAGAGGCTATGAAAATACCACGGCCTGGAGAGGCTATGAAAATACTACGGCCTAGAGAGGCTATGAAAATACTACAGCCTGGAGAGGCTACGAAAATACTACAACAACAAAGAGGGTGATGGAAATCTAATCCCCAAGGATTCCTTTGGAAGAGGTAAGACCAAGAAGGGTGAAGGTTGATCTAAGGAGTCTCTATTGTAAATACATTGTATAGTTTGATTTCTTGTACCTTGTATATAGTAGATACTTGAATAGGTGTATTTTTGCCTTTGTATTTGAGAGGCACTTTATTTCCTTTTATTAGCTATTGTATATTGTTTCTAGGGTAGGTTACTTGGGCACTTTGACTCCATTTAACCTAATCTAGAAACACACTCTTTTCTTATTTTTCTAGTAGTAGGATTGGGTGTGGCATTAGCAAGCTAGAGAGTGTGACTAGCAAGCTAGAGAGTGTTACTAGCAATTGGACCAAGAGATGGACCTAGGCTAAATTTTACATATTAGACTCATTTTACTCCTAATTTTTCATAGATTTGATTTAGCTAGGTTCCATTCACATTGGATGAACCTAACTAAACCAAATCAACATTTTTCAAAACCGATTGGAGTAAAATGAAGTCCATGAGCTGCCCACCCTGCCTTGTGTTCACATGTCTCTTGAATTGGAGTGTTGAATCTCCTCTAAATCCTTAGTTGATACCGTATTGGGGCTCAGTCAATCCATATTTGTTTAGAAGCGACCAATTGAGTAAGGTACAAGGTCAAATGCAAAAAATTCCTAACTATGTATTGGAAAGGTGAGTAGTATTCAGAGGGTAATCAACGGACAAATTTCATATAGGCTTAATTATATATGTTAAGGCCATGGTAGATTCATACTCAATTTGTTTTACTCCTGATAGGGATATTGGACTTTCTTAGTCTAAGTAATGAAATTCGAAAAACCATGTAACATTGTGGATTCATATCCAAATTTGCTATTGATTTAACAAACACAAAAAGATCGTGTTAATAAGATGGTTTGTTAGGATCAAATCACTTAAACTTTTCACTTGTATCGTAATAGGTCTTTTAGTTGAAATATATAATGACACATTGTGTTGCTGTGTTGCCATGTTGTAGTGTTATTTAAGTTGTTGTGTTGTTAAGTTGTGAGTTGATGTGTTGATTCATATGTTGTGTTGAAAAGTTGAGATGATGATCTTTTGTGCAGTGACGTCAATAAAATTGTATAATTGTATTGATAAGTTGAAATGTTGTTGTACTTACACGAATCAGGTCGGATCCCTAACTCGGATAAGTCGTCTTCCTGGTTGGATTCAGCCAAGGTTGTGTGAGATCGGTCAATAGGTTAGGTTGAGTTCCTTCTCTTTGGTTTCCTTGCTCGAGCGTCTCGGATGTACCTGCAAAAAGGACTCCGACGATCAAGTTAGGTACGATTTCATTGTCTATTCTCATACTTATCCTTTCCCTGTGTTGTACGGTTTTCTGATATAACTGCTATAGTGGTTATCCGAGGTGAGTTAACTACAATTGAGTTAGTCTTTATCGTCACATGTTATATATATTTGATGTTGCTTATATGGTGAGGTGTCGGTCTTATTGACCTCGAGGTTTGCGTCAGTATACATATATGTATGTAATCGGTATATTACACCATGATCTTGGTGTGAGCTCGGTCCTACGTCGGGGGTGGTACATAAGTCCCCCAAGCTCTGAGTGATGTAAGAGCGAAAGAGGTTAAAAATGAATGTAACATCTGAGATCAAAAAAGGAGGTGTCACGTCCAGACAAAGAAAGGCACAGAGGAGGTGACATGAGGAGTCACAGTGGTTGAGTAATGACAGCTGGTCATTTAAGGGGTCATGTCGCTTCAGCATACGCGTGGAAGTAGTAATAATGTTTCATTAAGAGGCGTTAAACGCGAAACGACAAGCGCGTTGGGATGCGTGAAAAATAAAGAGGACGTTTGAGTTTTGAAGGGATGCAAAGGCGGGCATTTAAAGGGTAACTGGGCATAGTTGAAGATATTCGTAGTTGTTCAGAGAGTCGTGAAAAGGTGAGGCGTGGAAGTAGGAAAGGAGCGTCATCGTTGGTGGAGTATTTGTATTTCCAGGTATTGATTTAACCTCGTTCTTCATTTTAAAGTCCTTCCACCTTCTGCGCTTAGCTTATAGGGTTAGATTGATGAACAAGGGGAAGATGAAAGGTGGCAAAGGAAAAAGTAAAGTGACGGAGGCGGAGGAAGCAAATGTACGAAAGAGAGGAGGAAATAATCGTAAAGATTCACATCCTAAAATCGCAACATCTGGGTATGAGTGGGTGAGGGGTGATGTGGGGCAATATAGTAGCAGATTTGGGGATTTAATGGGTGTGAGTGTGTTGCAGCATCATCTAAAATTTTGCTTTCCTCCCATGCTAGAGCGAATCATAATAGAGCCCTGCTCTGTTGAAGAGCGTGTGTATTTTGAAGGGTCAAGGGTATCGCCTGGGATATACATGTATAAATGTGTCTTTAAGGATTTAGGCGTTTTGATGCCATTTACGCCGTTCGAATGTGAGTTCCTGAAAAAAGTGAATATAGCACCAAGTCAGCTGCACCCCAATAGTTGGGGTTTTCTGCGAGCATTTCAAATTCTGTGTTCAATATTAGGAATGGAAGTAAGTTTGGGAAGATTTATGCACTTTTATCAGATAAAATTAGGGGAGCCTCCTTTTGGTTGGGTTTCGTTAAGTGGAAGTTCAAAAGGGGGGGGGGGAATATTCCAGATATTTGCACAATTATATAAAAGTTTTAAAGAAGAGTTTGTCAAAATTCGGTCTGTGTGTCGTGATCCGAATTTAGATTGTGTGTTTTTCTTGGATGGAGAACCGAGATTCCCCTTTTATTGGCAATCTCAGCCTACTAAATTTTCTGGCTCGGAAGGGTTAGAACTGAGTCCAGCCGAGTTGGAGGATATAGAAAATTGCAACAGCTACCTCGGCCTTTAGAAAGCAAGTCGGTTCTAGGGCTTGTTGGATCAAAGAATCCTCAAGAGGATCTAGAACGTAAGTGATAGTTATAATACTAATAATGAGTAGATATTGCTACAATTTATGTCGATATAATATTGTGGTGGCTCGTGTAATGTAGATATCATGGGAAGAAGTAGATGGCGGGAGTTGAAGGAGAAATTCAACGTGGAAGAAATTCCTGATGTTGCGGTCCCGAAACAGAAAGTTAAGAAATAAAAGATAGATGATGAAAGTGCTCACAGTAAGGGACACAAAGCTTCTGACCATGTTGTTATTTCGAATAAGCCGGGGAAAGAAGTTGTGAAAGAGACTCCCAAACCGAGGAGTGATACAAGCCAAAAACATGTGGGGGAAAATCTTGTTATTGATCTGGAAAAGGAAAATCCTATCCCGGAGGGAAATCCCGTGATTAATCTGGAAAAAGAAAAGGTATATTTCTTATCATTACTTGCATTATTATGTAATTATGTTCCTTACTGTGACTGCTCTGATTTGTAAATTTGTTTTTGAAGCCGGCGAATACACAAGTTCCTGAATCTTTGAAACATTTGGTGTCGAATTTGGAGGCATCTATTGCTCAACTCGGCTTTAACTCGCCGGTGACACAGGGGAGACCGTCTCAATCTGGGTCACACAACCGTCCGAGATCATTGCATCAAAGATATGATACAGAGAATCCCCTGTCAAGGTTAGATCACGTAAGCATGTCACCCGATGTGACTTCCCTTTGGAATGCCGAGTTGAAGGCAGAAGCGTTTTATAAGGAGGATCCAGCTTACATCGCTGATAAGGCGTTAATCGAGAAGGTTGGACCTGTGCAAGGTTTAGACTCCATGCATGTGTTTCTGCAGAGATCTATTGCTGTGGTAGATCATTGGAAAAGAAAGTGGTTAATGAAGATGACATCACTGATGATATGAGCAGTGAAGAGAACAATGAATAATTATATTTGTTTACTGAGCAATAGTATGGTTTGTACCTAGGAGTTGTATTTTGTATTTGCTATTGCCTTCATAGGCTAAACTTTTGACAGTCTTTATAATATTTCGAATGTTTTGATAAAATGCTTAATTAACTATGGTGCTATGCTTAAAGTTAGCATATAAATATTCGAACGGAACTAGCTTACCGTAATAGGATGAAATCGGCTCTAACTTGGTCGTGTTATGCCGCGAATGTAATTGACTCGAAATTGGTAGCGAATGTAATTGACTTGAATATGGTAGCAGTAGTGTTATGAATGAAGAATAAATTTTGTTCAAACTGGGTTAAATTATGGCTCAAACTTGGCTAAATTATTGCTCAAACTTGGCTAAATTATTCAGACCAGAATTAACATCGACTCAGATTTGGACGATGTTATTAAAAGTGATTAAAATTAGACCGAGTTTTGAATCAGAGATAACATCGACTCAGACATGGATGAGTTTCTTAACATTGGCTCAGATTTGGCCAAGTTTCAACTTAAAATTAACATGGGCCCAAAGTTGAACGGGTTTATTAACATTGGCTCAGACTTGGCCATGTTTCAAGTCAAATTGAATATCTGCTTAGACTTGGGCGAATTTCTTAACATTGGCTCAGATTTGGCCAAGAAGGAAGAATCAGATTAAGGAACAAGGGAAAAATTAAATTTATGTAAAAGAGAAGAAATAAAATTGAAAGAAGAGAGAACTCCTAATATTGAGTATGAAGTTATGTGTGCCTTACATCTCTCTTGCTGACCTCAGGCGTGCCTCATTAAAACCTCTTCAGCCAAAACCCTTTTTTTTTTGTTGGGAAAAAAGACTGAAGTAGGAAAAAGAGTACAACACCTGGGTTTATATGCTTTTAATTGAAATAAAATTTCAGATGAGTGGCATTCCAAGTTCTAGGGAGAACTTTGCCACTGAGTTCTGCCAATGTATACGCTCCATTTTGTAGGCATTCTAAGATGCGAAAAGGACCTTTCCAATTGGCTGCAAATTTTCCTGCCCTGCTGATGCATCTTTCCTAGCGTCGCCTGTGGCTCTCCAAACGAGATCTCCTTCATGGAAAGATCTCGGTTTGAGCTTGGAGTTGTACCTCCGTGATGCTTGAAGTTTACATGCTTCTTCTTGCACCCTGGCGTGTTCCCTTTTTTCGTCTAGTAGATCTCTGTCCAAGCTCAGTTGTTCTCCGTTCTGGGGCTCAGTAAACATTAATCTTATGTGACTTGGCTCACCAACTTCAACGGGTATCATTGCATCTGAACCATAGGTCAACTTATAGGGAGTCTCTTGAGTGGTGGTCTGTGGTGTGCAATGGTATGCCCACAGGACACTAGGTAACTCTTCAACCCATTCTCCTTTGGAAGACCCTAGCCTCTTCTTAAGTTCACAGAGAATCACTTTATTTGTTGCCTCGGCTTGACCATTTGTTTGTGGGTGTTCTACTGAGGTGACTTTGTGTTTGATGCCGAGTTGCATCAGGAATTGCTCAAAATTTTTGTTTACAAATTGCTTGCCATTGTCTGTGGTGACTGCTTGAGGTATTCCATACCTGCAAATGATTTTCTTCCACGTAAAACGCTGCACATTAGTCGCTGTAATTCCCGCTAAAGGCTCAGCTTCAATCCACTTTGTGAAGTAATCAATCCCCACAATTAAAATTTTTAATTGACCTTTGGCGACTGGGAAAGGACCGAGTATGTCCATGCCCTACCACGCAAAAGGCCATGCTGATTGCATGGAGTGTAGGGCTATTGCAGGTAACTGGTGTAGGTTGCCAAATTTCTGACAAGCTTCGGACTTTTGTACATATGCTTTACAATCTGATCTCATAGTTGGCCAGTAGTAGCCAGCTCGGATCACCCTAGCAGCCATGGATCGAGCTCCTGAGTGCATACCACATATACCCCGATGGATCTCGTCCATTAGATACCCAGCTTGATCCGAGTTAAGGCATTTTAAAAAGGGTACTGAGAATCCCCTTTTGAACAACTCTCCAGCATCAATTGTGAAATGACAAGATTTGAGTTTGTTTTTTGAGGCTTCAGCTTTATCTTCCGGTAAAGTACCGCTTGTAAGATATTGCCAAATGTTTGACATCCAGCTTGGTTGACCGAGGTTGTTAGCTGACACTGCTACAGAATCATAGCTAGGTGCACTAATTGTCTCTTGGATAATTGTTTTGTGCTGTCCGGGATGTTTAGTACTGGCTAGTTTTGACAGCAGATCAGCTCTAAGATTTTGGGCCCTTGGGATATGTTCCATCTGGAAGTTGTCAAAGGAAGAAGTCAAATGAGATTCTAGAAGGTTATACTTTTGGAGTTATGGTTCCTTCGTTTGATAACTTCCTCCGACTTGCTCTGTGATCAACTTGGAATCACTACAACATCGAAGCTTTTTGACTCTGACATCTCTGGCCAATCTCAAACCTGCAAGCAAAGCCTCATATTCGGCTTGGTTATTAGTAGCTCTGAAATCAAATTTGATTGCAAGTTCAAGCATCATCTCATTAGGACCTTCAAGAATAATACCTGCACCACTACCTTTTGTATTGGACGATCCATCAACATGTAAAATCCATGATTGCTCTTCCGTAGGAATGCTAGGTGTCAGCTCGGCAATAAAATCAGCAAGACATTGGGCTTTTAGTGTTCCTCGACTTTCATATTTGATTCCATATTTGGACAACTCGATGGACCAAGCTGTCATCCGACCTGCGAGATCAGGCTTTTGAAGTATCTGCTTGATGGGATAGTCAGTTTTTACCACAATCTGATGACTTTGAAAATAGGGCCAAAGTCGCCGAGCTGAAGTTACTAGCGCGAGGACCAACTTCTCAATGGTTTGGTACCTCTTCTCGGTGTCTTGCAAAACACGACTAATAAAGTAAATAGGAATTTGCTTCTTACCGTCATTCTGCATAAGGGCTGCACTGATTGCATTGTCGGCCACGGCGAGGTATAACAAGAGGTCGGCGTGACTCTGAGGATTAGTCAGGATGGGGGGTGCAGATAAAAATATTTTGAAGTCTGAAAATGCTTGCTCACATCGGTCATCCTAATGGAAATTCTTTGGTTTCTTTAACAGGTTAAAAATGGGTTTGGCCTTTTTTGCCATCTTGGGAATGAACTGAGAGAGAGAAGCGAGCCTGCCCGCCAACCTTTGTACCTCTTTGTTGTTTTGGGGACTTCTCATGTTAATCAATGCCTGACACTTATCTGGATTTGCCTCTATCCCCCGACACGTAATCATGAATCCTAAAAACTTCCCACCTTGGACTCCAAAAACACATTTCTCAGGATTTAGTCTCATGTTATACCTTCTGACTTGTTGGAAGATTTCTTCTAGATCTCGGACGTGATCGTTGGCTGACTTCGTTTTGATGACCATGTCGTCAACATAAACCTCCAGATTACGGCCAATCTGTTCCGCGAAGACCTTGTCCATTAGCCTTTGGTATGTTGCTCCAGCATTTTTGAGTCCGAATGGCATGACATGATAACAGTAGTTGGCTTGTTCTGTGATAAATGCAGTGTACTCTTCGTCTGGGGGGTACATTAAAATCTGATTATAGCCGGAGTAAGCATCTAGGAAACTAAGCATAGCATAGCCGGAAGCTCCATCAACCAATCTGTCAATGTTGGGTAAGGGGTATGCATCTTTCGGACAAGCTTTGTTTAAATCTGTATAGTCAACACACATACGCCATTTGCCATTGGAATTTTTAACCATCACGACATTGGCTAACCAAGTGGTATACTTGATTTCTCTAATGAACCCTGCACTTAACATTTTTTGAGTCTCAACTTTAACAGCTTCTCTTCTTTCACCGCCAATCTTTCTCTGCTTTTGGGACACTAGCTTGCTTCCTTGTAAATGGCTAATTTGTGGCAAATAAAGTTGGGGTCTATCCCTGGCATATATGCACTACTCCATGCAAAGAGATCAACATTTTCAGTAAGAATTGACATGATTTTACCTCAGAGATCGGTTTCAATGTGTTTTCCGATTTTGGTACACTGTCCTGGCTTCTTTCCAATATGGAATTCAATTAGTTCGTCAACGGGGCTAGGTCGATGGTCATGCATGTCAACTCGGGGATCCTGGTTGGCCATTTCCCTTGTTCCGAGATGGGCTACTACAGAAGAATTTGACTTCTCGGGTTGAGGACTAGTAGGGGCAATCCTTAAGCTCTCGGCATAACATCTTCTTGCTATTTGCTGATTAGCTTTGATAGTTATTATACGTCCGTCTGTGCCCGGGAATTTCATAGTCAAATTGGGTGTTGACACAATTGCTCCTAACTGATTTAATGTTGGTCTCCCAATGAGAATATTGTAGGAGGTGACGACATCAACTAACAAATACTTCACCAGCACTCTCTTTGAATTCTGGGCTGTACCAAAAGAGGTTAGCAATTCAATGAAACCACGAGTGTGAACTCGCTCACCTGCGAAATCGACGAGAGGCTCGGAATATGGTTGAATCATATTATGAGGGATGTCAAGCTTCAAGAAAGTAGGCCAATACAACACATCAGCAGAGCTACCTTGGTCAATCAATGTTTTCTGAACTTCCCAGTTAGCCACTTCGACTGAGATGACCATGAGATCGTCTTGGCTTAGACTTATGCCTTCATAATCATCATCGGTGAAGACAATGGGAGGAGTTGATGGACTCATTTTGATGTCCGAGTTGTGGTGATCATTGATATTGTGAACGTTGCGTAGGTTCCGCTTCCTGGCGGAGTTAGAACTTCCACCTCCAGCGAAGCCCCCCGCAATGGTGTTAATGACTCCTCGCAGGTTATTGTCGGCAAAGGATTTGTCCCCGTGCTGTGGATCAGCACTATTTGCGCTGGGTTTGTTTTCTTCGTGTATGGGTGCTTGTTGATAGTTACCTTGCTCAAATCGGCCTTGGTAACTTTGGGAGCGTCCTTGATATCGGTTTGAATATCGTCCTCGCCCTCTGCCGCGTCCTCGGAACTCCCCGCGGGAAGATTTACCACGTTGGACATATTGGCCAAGGTGACCAGCTTGAATCAGTTCTTCAATTTTGTCTTTGAGGCTCCAAAATTCCTCCGTTGTGTGTCCATGGTTTCGGTGATATCGACAATGTTTGCTCTTATCGGCATTGGCCGAATTGTACGCCGGGGGAGGTAAGGAGATTAGATCTACATGATTAGCTTCTTCTAAAATATTAATGCGCGGAGCATTAAGGGGTGTGTAAAAATCATACCTGGGACCTCGTGCTTGACGAGGTCTCTTGGATCTTTGATCGAAGTGACTCTTTTGCTTCTTCTTACTACTGGACTCGCCCTTGGCGGCAAGGCCATCCCGGACATTATTACGGAACTCAGCATGCTCTTCCATTTGGATGTAACCGGCAGCGCGCTCTCAGTTCGTCCATGCTGGCTGGTTGGTGTCGGCAAAGACTGTCAACAAAGGGTCCAGGGTTGAGGGCCATCAGCATGGAATGGAGGGCGACTTCAGGATTGAGGTTTCGGATTTTGATAGAAACGTTGGCGAATCGCTCCATGAAATGCCTGAGGGATTCATCATCCTGTTGTCGCAGATTAGACAATGCTACTGAGGTGATATGATGAGGTCTGCTGGTGGCATATTGGGCAGAGAAAAGACGAACCAGAGTATCGAAATTATTTACGGATCTGAGTGGTAGTTGTGTGTACCAACTCAGGGCAGCCCCTTTGAGTGAAGTTGGGAATACCCGGCACATGATGGCATTGTCATTCGTATAAAGGTTGATATGGGTAACATATGCATCGATGTGCTCATCGGGATCTGTGGTTCTGTCATATCTGTCTATGTTCAACGGTTTTCAAGTGGGTGGGAGAGGGACTTCCATTATTCCATCAACAAATGGGTGTCGTCGAGTGGAATGTGGTTCATATTCGGGACGGCTGATGTGGGTATGTACAGATCGGTGAGTGTGAGTATGAGTGGGTTCTGGTGGGTATGTGGGATCGGGAGAAGACTGATGTTCTTCTGCCGTAGGTGGAACATGGCTAGCATGATGAGTATATGGCAGTGGTTGATTTTGCTACCATTGGGCTCAGAATGCGGCCTGCTCAGCACGTAACTATTGCAGATCGGCTTCGTGCTGTTTACGCAGATTCTCCATCGCGACTGCATGTTGTCGTTGCATCAGTTCTATCTGTTCAAGTAACCGTCGAAGGGTTGGACTATCTTCCATGTTCGGTGTGCTTGAACGTGGTACACTCGTTGCTCTATTGGTCTGACTTCGGGTTGAAACCATAAGGGTGAAGGAGGAAAAGTTTTACCAGGCCCTTCTTCTAGCGCCAAATGTACTTACACGAATCAGGTCGGATCCCTAACTCGGATAAGTCGTCTTCCTAGTTGGATTCAGCCGAGGTTGTGTGAGATCGGTCAATAGGTTAGGTTGAGTTCCTTCTCTCTGGTTTCCTTGCTCGAGCGTCTCGGATGTACCTGCAAAAAGGACTCTGACGATCAAGTTAGTTACCATTTCATTGTCTATTCTCATACTTATCCTTTACCTGGGTTGTGCGGTTTTCCGATATAACTGCTATAGTGGTTATCCGAGGTGAGTTAACTACAGTTGAGTTAGTCTTTATCATCACATGTTATATATATTTGATGTTGCTTATATGGTGAGGTGTCGGTCTTATTGACCTCGAGGTTTGCGTCAGTATACATATATGTATGTAATCGGTATATTACACCATGATCTCGGTGTGAGCTCGGTCCTACGTCGGGGGTGGTACAGTTGCTAAGTTGTATTGTGTTGTAAGTTGATATATTATTTAGTTGTATTGTTGAGTTGTTGATAAGTTATGTTGTTTGTATGCCGAATTAATATGTTAAAAAGTTATTGAGCTGGTTTGCTAGTAAGTTGTAGAATTGTATTGTGAGTTGATATGTGGTTGAGTTGAGACTTGTATTAGTTAACTTGCTAATATAGTTAGTGTATTACTTTTATATTATATATGTTGATTTATTAGTTTCAAGCTTACCTCTTATTTTTTTTTCTTGTTGTTAGACTATGATGAGAGTGAGATAGAATTAGATCGGGACGAGATAGGCAAGATATATATTTTGATAGTGACATATTGGAGATGATGATATTGTTTTTATTGTTTTGATACAATCTGTAGACAATAATTATTTCACCGATTATGTTTTACAATCAAAATCAGTATATATATGTTTATGTTGAATAATTATATTTATATTTTTTTGTTACATAATTGTTGAATTAGAAAGGATAATAACTTTTCAAGTCGTTACAAATTTTATACTACAGTAGAAAACATATTAAAAATGTATTCTAATACTCTTCTTATAATATTTAACGTATTTTCAAAAATTATTATGTTCACTGTTCCCTTGCTTCCCTTTGGAGATCTAACTAATATTTGCCTAATGGTATCATCATTTCATCGGAGAATATTTTCTGAATAATCTTAGTTTAGGCCTTTTTTCAGGTCTAGTGTATCCAAACTAAATGAATGTGACCTTGTTAATGAATATCTTTACTAATTTTCTGTAGCTATAATTTCATGTCCTATAGTATGATTAAAGAATCTATAAGTAATGAGCGACTGTTTTTGTTTCTTAGTAATTATGAAAGCAATAATAAATGAAGGGTCATCTACATCTATATAAATATATAACTCTTTGTAAATTAATCACAATAAACCAGAAATAGTGAGTTGTTAATTTTTTATTTTTTATTTATTGAGAGAGAGAAATATTGAGGAGCTGCTAAGCATTTGAAAAGTTATTCTTTGTTTTTCTAAAACATTTTTATCACCGAATTGTATGATTTGGTCGGAAAATAGCTTTACCTTTTTGCCCTTACCTATCATGTTACACAATATTGACAGAAAATTATATATATATATA